TTCTCCAAAGAGATCTACCTTCGAAATTTTAGTTGAGGTGGATGATGCAGGCGAAGCTGGGAGTGAATCAGACGTGGAATTGGAGGTTTCGACAGTTGCCGAGCCACAACGCCTAGATGAGGGACGCGATCCAGATAGGGCTGCAAGCAAAGAATTTTCGATCTCCAGAATCGAAAATTCTTCGTCGTCATCCGACGAGGAGGAAGGAGGCGTAGGAATTGATTTTTTGCCTTTCACTTTCGAAGGTGTGGGAATTTTCTTCTTCCCTTTCGATTTCGAAGGGTTGACAAACTTTTTCCGTGTGTTCGCTTGGGTTTTAGAAGCATCCAAATCACGTCTTCTATATCCGACAGATCGCGCTGGCGCAGTGGAACTAGCTGATTTAGCGAATCGTGCTAGGGTATTTTTCCGGATCGACGGAGTTTTCCCTTGGATGGAGTCAGGCGGGTACGAAGAAGAAGAACCTACGACTCGAGGACGCTTGGGTGGAAGTTCGGCCGCTGATGGAGACGAAGACCGTTTGCTTTTCCGGGATGCCGAGCTATCTGGTGCAGGAGGGTTAGCTTGGATAATTGGGAGTAATACAGAGGTTAGCTTGGCTAAGTGGGATCGAAGCGCATCCCGATCGTGAACGGCCTGATCACGTTCCACTTTCCCGATCTAAGATTTCCCCACGTAGCTGATCCAAAGAGACATCTTTTCGAGTACTCTCGTAGAGAAGATCATCATGATCGGCTTGGAGTTTATCCAAACGATCCTGGAGAGAAGCTAGCTGGAGTTGGAACTGATTCTTCAAGACTTGCTCAACCACAGTCATTTCTCGTCGGTGTCTCTCCTGAGCATGTTGGTTCGCCGTGTTTGCTTTGAGTAGAGCGGATTTCAAACTTGCAATAACTTAAGCTTAATCCTCTCGTAGGACCATTCATCCTCAATATCTTGAGCCTTCTGAATCGCAGTGTCGTAACGTTCCTGAAGCCGCTTGTAGCGATCTAAGACGAACTTGGACAGAGGAGGTGCTAATTCCTAGAAGGATTGCAATTCACGTTCCAACCGAGAAGAGCGCACTTTTTGCTCTCGTAAATCATCTTCCAAGGAACGATTATTGTCCGCAACGGCAGTTTGGGCGTCCAAAAGATCGTATATTGCCGCAATTGACGACTCCAAGATATGGCGATCCAGCACGGGCGGGAATTCTACCCGAGTAGAAGGAAGCAAAATCCGCGATCCGGAAGAATTGTTCGTAGGCGGATCGGAAGTTATGCGAGACGGTTCGGGTCTCGAAACGGTTAAAGGGCTTGCAGATATGACGGAATCGGAGCCATCCTGGCTAGAAGGGGAAGCGGTCGCAGACGAAAAAGATGACATGAAGATGACCGAGGTGATTAATGTGGTTACGATGCACAGTCAGGACAACACTGTATGCCGGCTAACGGTGCAGGGTACGATTGTGGAGGAGCTAGTAAACAAATTTTTGTAAAGTAAACATCGCGATCCAAGTTATGTGGACCACGCATCAAGGTTCGATTGCGATCCATTGTGCAGACAACGCGATCCGACTTAGAAACGCGATCCGACTTAGAACCGCGATCCAGTTCAGAACCGCGATCTGACTCAGAACCGCGATCCACTTCAGAGCCGCGTTCCGAAGTAGATCGCGATACAGTTCCCAAGAGTCACGCATTATGGATCGACCACGATCCCGAACTAATACGCAATCTGATTCAGATCGCGATCCAAGAATAAGGCCCAAGAATAAGGCAAGATCGCCAGTGGATCGGGATGGCGAAGGTATCTGGAGTGGACCACATATCGAGATCTGATTTTTTTGAAAGGACGGCATGTGGTAATAGATCCTGGACTACAGATAGGCAAAATCGTAGGTTTTGATATTTGATTGGTTAACACTAAACAGATTTTAATTTTACTTCTAATAAACGTGTCGATTTCTCTATTCCGGGCAGGATATTTGGCCTCCCGAAGCCGAGAATATCGACTACAAGTACACCCTGGATTGTTTTGGCCAGGGGAAGGATTTCACAACACAACTCGAATGCGATCGGACTCAGAAATAACAAGTAAGGGCAAGGCGAAGAAAGTGCAGGACGGATCAAGTGGTCAGAAGGTTCTGCTCATGTGGTCAGAAGATTCAAGCTTCATCTTATTGGACTATTGGGATCTATTGGAGAGATCAACAAACAAATACTCGGTCGATCTTGTGAAGATTTCCACAAGATAACCAAACCCCCAATCCCTAACTAGATTAGGATCAACATCGACTTAAGTCCACCTAGAAGAGTGCAACCCGCCCAACTGACGGGTACACAAGGTGAAGAAGGCTTTGCACACGGATACGGGGTAGAGTCGGTCGTCGGTCGCCAGTGGAGAGTTGGAGTCGCATTAGCAATTTTGCAAATTCCACTCTACTACAGTATTGAGAAGGAGTTAGGGGTATTATATCACCCAATATTTCCCTCGCACGCGTCATAGCGAAGTTGTTTCGCTTCGACAGCTGTTTCGCTGCATCTACATATGGTGTAACACGGCGCAGGAACTCTGCTTCGTATTCATCGGTTGTATTCGTTCAAACGCAACACGACGGGGATAGGGAAAGCACGACCAAGTGCTTTGCCCTGTCTTTTTGAAAATATAAGCGTCAATAGTGGTGAAACTTATACGGTTATTGAAGCTCCTAAAGGTTTCAAATATCTATAGAAGATAGGAACCAAACTGTCTCACGACGTTCTAAACCCAACTCACGTACCACTTTAATCGGCGAACAGCCGAACCCTTGGAACCTTCTTCAGCTCCAGGATGTGATGAGTCGACATCGAGGTGCCAAACGACTCCGTCGATAGGAGCTCTTAGGAGTCATCACGATGGAAAGACGCTAAATTGTTTATTAGCGTCGATAGTGGCACGCTCTAGGAGCATCGCACTATTCCCATTAGAGTGTAACCACTTGGATGGCAGTGACATTGGTGGATATCCACCACTCACGTAGCCGCTCTCGCGATGGTGCGCTAGTGAGGCCGCCTATGAATTCAAAGGAGCATTTAGCTCTCTCACCTGAGTCTAACTCTCCATTAATGGTTGTCAAGCCATCAGATGTAGGGTTGACAGAGGCAAAAAATGTAGATTTGCCGACCAGCTGTTGAGCCGCGGCTGTTTTTATAAAGCAGCGCGCTCGGTCGTGGTCGCTGCGCTCGTTGGCGCAGACGAAGGAGCATGACCCTCACTGTCAGAAATGATGAAAGCTTCCTAAAGGTTGGGTGCCTCAAATGATGGGTAAACATGTCCCATCAAAGCTCTGTTCTCATCACCACTTTGGCGTAATGGCAATGGCGTGCTCTCATTGTAGTCAACAATGAGAGACAAATCTTCATCCGCACCATAGTGGGATGGACCAATGTTCTCTGCTGGCAAGCTGACATTAGATGTCGGTGCTGTCACAAAGACACTTCGCGACGGCTGCAAAATATCGCGGCGCGTATGCTTTGTGCTGGACTTTGCAGGCGACCCATCAGCCTTACCACGTTTCGGAGGCATCTTCTTGCTTATTCTGTTTCACAAAATTTAACAATCGTCTTAAAAGAGGGGGATGGTGTAACGGGCTAGAAGTTACACGGTTCGTTAAGTATCAAATACTTAACGGGCAGGCCAACATGGGTACTTAGGTTTGGCACATCAATGTGACCCACCCTCGTGTGTGTGATATCCATGGATGGATTTACATTTAACGAGGATGACGCCTCAAACAGACGTCATCTGCGAGCTTAAATATAATTTGAGCCTGCACGTAAGGAAAGAGACGCGTATCCGATATTTACATTTAACCAACCAGTAGTTAGATTAGATTTATATTTAGTTGACTTTAATATAAGTCAGTTTTGAATTTACTATTTACCGTCCACTGCGCACGAGAAGCTGAATTATCTTCTGCTTGACGTAAGTGATGCACTTGTAAGTTGTTCGTTTCACGAACCGCTCTAAGCGGCCGGCAACAGATTGGTTCGTCGCTTTAAGCGACCGATAAACGCGACCACCACCGCAGGCGGAGGCAAGACGGTATAATCGCTTCATCGCGCTGCTTGAAGGTGTGCTCGCGTAGTACGTGGCAGCTTCATTACGAAGCGCCCGTCTACAGATTATTTTGCTGATCGATGCCTGTATGAGCGTTTTGACAAGCCGAATTCCTTGGTTGCCCATTTATTTAGTGCCGTCTAAATTGATTCTAGATGTGATACACGTCAGCAATTTCTTTTTCCTGTGCTAATAGTGAAAGCCTACTGTAAACTTAATGTTTTTTATAGTTGTCTTTCCTGTTGAAGTACTACCTAGATAGCTAAAGATGTCGCATACTCGGCTTTCCAATAAACGCGTCTTAAAATCTGCAAGTACAATCATGGATTTATGTGAGCACGGGTCAATTTAACCAAGTAGCCTGGGACTTAAGTTTGGTACAGTATAGTAGTCTGAACTGAAGGGCTGGAGCCTGTCTTAGTCAAGGTAATGGTTTGGTTGCCCAGGTCTGCATTTTAATTTTGCTTAATTCTCTTATGTACGATATAAAATAATGATACGTGTTAACCTCTGTTAAATTATAATATTGACGTTCAACATACCCATGACTTAACGAAGGGAGATCTGTCAGCAACTTTGAAGAGAAAGTCCCGCAAGGCACTGGCTATCATCTGCCTTGCGGTGGAAGATCCGCAAATGCCGTTTATTTGCTCGGCGAGTGGTGCATTTGTCAAGCCTAGAAAGACGTTATTGCGAAGAAAAGCAAACAATTTTTTTTATTTACAATTTACACCCTCTGAATGCATCAGGTAGAGTATGTCCATTGTGAGGCATAACTAACTATAAACAAATCTCTTATTTGTTGCATGATATTGTGCAAGACGACTGCATGGAACCTCTATGCCCTATTAAAAGCTACACAGAAAGCTGCATGGAATTCCTCCTACACTTTAAACACCCATTTACTCGATTTCATTGGGTTATTCTTGCCATCCCAGGAAATCCAGCACCTCGCCACCAAGGTACAATGAACCTGTCACGAGGACGCTCCAGTTCTCGTCCCACTGGTCGTTCTTCAAAGCATCCTTTATCAGTGGAACGCTAGCATCCTTGGTAAGCGCGCGCAGCTCATCGATGCAATCTACGACCGAGTCTTTCACAGCAACGACGCACTTGCTCTGATTCTCCTTGATAACGTGAGTCTTCAGTGCCTTCCAGATTCGTGAAAGGGTCGTTTGCCATGGGTGCACTTCGCTATCCACATCATCCAGCGCCGCCAACTCTTCCGGCAAATATGTGGCCAATACTTCTCCATAACCCGCAATCTCAAGAGCTTCCGAAAACGTATGAAGTTTGGCCAGACTAGGGCGGGATGAGCTCGTCGGGCAAAAGTAGACGCGATCAAAGAAATGCTTTACAAGCGGCTCGATTAGCTGTGCCACATTGCGCTCGTGATGAATCGTAAATATGAGCACACGCTTATGAACCAGGGCTGTTCGAATTGCATCTTGGTGAAACCAGTCCGCACAACACTTAAGGCTGCGCAGCGTGTGCGCACCATCGATATAGAAACGCATCTTGTGCGCTTCATCTTCCCACAGGTGCGCTCGGCCAGGCCAAAATGCGTACTTCAGTCCTTCCTTTACCACCGGTTCAAGCGCCCAAGCCAGGTCGAGTGGTGCAGCAAGATCTTCTCCACGCCTGTGCCGCAGCCATGTAGACGCAAGTGCCACTGCTAGTCCTGCATTTGTACGCTGATAGTCTCCGTGCATACCTAGCTTACAGCCCGCTCCGTCGGGTCCAAAGCCGTCAAGCGTCGGCACACTTACAAGAGGTGTGCCAGTCTCTATGGCACATTTCTCTAGCATCTGCATAGCAAGCGGCTCCTGTGCGGTGGTAAATGCTAACACCCCGGGTTTAAAAATCCCGGCCTTTGCGCAGGCAATTAGATCAATGGTCTCGCCCAGCACACGCGTGTGGTCCAGATCAAGCGTCGAAATGCCACATACCACCGGCTTACGGAACACATTGGTAGCATCCAATCTCCCTCCTAGTCCGACTTCTAAAACAACCACGTCCACTTGTTCGTCGGCAAAGAGATGCAGCGCCATAAGCGTAAGAAAGCGAAAAAACCAGGCCATCGGCGGGTATGGACCGCTATTTTCCTGTGTGCGTTCTAATCCACCCCACACTGCATTAAAATGCCTCAGAAACACATCGTCAGCGATGGGTTTTCCGTTGATGCGGAAGCGTTCACAGGGCGAGACAAGATGAGGCGACGTAAAAAGCCCCGTCTTGTAGCCTGCCTGACGCAAAATGCGTTCCACCATGGCACATGTAGATCCTTTGCCCTTGGTTCCAGCCACGTGCACTACTGAGAGCGCTTTGGGGGAGCTGCTGTCCACTACCTCTTCCAAGTGCAGACGTTTGAGGTAGTGTTGCATCATGGCAATGGTCTCCTCACGTGTAGATACTTGTGTGTCCTTTCCCGGCTGAAGGTCCTTAAAAGTAGAGCTCACACTCAAAAGACGCGTCAGAGCTGCTTGCACCTGTTGGCTGAGGTCGACACCACTGCTAGAGATGCTCATTGGACTGCTGGGAGTGGATGTGGTAGAGCTGCTTGCACAAGAAGGAGCCGTTTTGACTAATGCTAAAGATGAGGATATTGTTGCAGACGCATGAATGACAGAGTCGTCCGAACACTCAATAGGCATGTTACAATAGATAAAAATTATCAAAGACGACAATTTAGCAATGGGCTCGAACGTATTCTAGCAGCTTATTTTTCAGCCGAAGCTCTTTTTCGTGGGTTCAACAAGTAAAGTTTCACTTATGCAGATGGGTGTCACTAAAGTGAACTTAATCATTGGTTGGTGGTGCCGACACGTTTTTCTACCATTAAAGCTCAAAATTGCAGAAAATGGGGCGGTTGGGCGTATCACTCAAGAAGCGCGACAAGGTTCCACAGCGTCGCAAACAAAAGCCTCTACGCAAGTTTAAGACCAAATTCGTTTGTGATCCAAAGGTGCAACAGATCTGGGATCATAACCTCACCACTCGTCAAAACTATGCTAATCTCGGTCTAGAGGCCAATCCAAACGCCTACGCAACTCTTCGCGAGAGCATTTTGGGCGCAGATGGGACTCTTGAGGCAGCAGACGAAGCGCGTCTCTTTGAAGTGCCCGACAGTGACTTTCTGGGTGACCGTAATCCCAAGCGTATCGCTAATTACGTCTCTGAGGAGGAAGCCAAGTATCTACGTAAGCTCATCGCCAAGCACGGCAACGACTACACGAAAATGGGACGTGATATAAAGATTAACAACATGCAGTGGACCGAACAAAAGCTGCGTCGACGTTGCGCCCGTCTAGCGCTACTGGACGCGAACCTCATTAGTCAATCACAGGGTGAACAAGCGTAGAACTGAGAGTTACAAATAGATATTCAATGTATTTTGCAACAAGCGAGGCTATTTGCCCTGGGAATTACGTGGATTCTCTATTCTCAATGCGCTTTGCTGCGCCTCTTCACACTTTACAGAAAACGCTGCGGTCGCACGCGTTTGACAACTATTAAGCCCTTCCTAAAGCCCATTTTTTCAATTCTGTGCTATACAATTACCTGGCGGCTTCCAGCAACGCGCGCGTGACGTATGATGGGAGCTCTGATACACTAATAATTACGCCGTAGCTCTGTGCGCTGCTGCTCTTGATCTTTGTCGCTTGTTTCAGTTGAAATCCATTTTTTCTAGCCAGACGACACAGTAACATGTTGCAGCTGAGGTGGCGTCTGCTCGGGAGATGACGGGTTCGACGCTGAAGTTGGTGACACCGACGACGGCGACGAAAATGGCATTGCTGATGATGATGCTTTTGCATACGGACTTCGAACACGCGCTTGAAACGACAAAGATGGCGGTGGCGAGACACCACCGCATGTAGATGACGATGAAAATCCGCTGGTAGAGCCCACCGTACCGGTCGTTGCCACCGAAGACGTCGAGCACAACGAGCCAGAAGGTGACGAGACAGAAACTGCCGCAGGTCGTTGCATTTGTTTCAATACTCCAGTCGACAAACTCGCCACGTCACTGAACGCAGACCTAGCCTTAGCACTAGTTCCATTGCCGCAAGCAGCTAAAGACCCATTAATTCCTTTCCTTGCCCCTGCACTCGCGGCGGCCTTCATTGCTGCAGTGACGCTACCGGCAAGTTCCAGCGTAGCAGCAGCAGCAGCATGTGCATTAGCAGCTTCTTGAGCCTCGTCATTGACTGCATTTACCACCACATGCGGCAGCTTCTTGTGCGCCACGGCACGCTTGTGATATGCACGCTTAGCCGCACGCAATTGATTTTGCACCTGGCAGCGTGGGCACGGACCGCCCTTACGGTGACGATGTTTCGTGCCTTCCACCTTGTGCTCAGTGGCTTCAATTTTGTGCTTTAGGTCGCGCAGGTCTTGAGGAAGATTCGTCAGGTCCGGCAGCGGCAGATTCTCAAGCTTAGACAAAGCCATCTTGGAAAGTGATGCGCCAGGCCCCACAATCCCTTTAACATCAAGGTCTTGCTCCGAAAACGTCCCTTCTAGATCAGCAAACGTTTCCTGCATCTTAAGTGTCATAAGCCGCTTGCGTTCTTCGCGCTTTTTCGGCGTCTTCTTCTCCCCCTTGCCAGAGGATTTGCCGCTACCAAGTCCGTTTTCGTGACCGGTAGCAAGCAGAGGCACAAACCCACATATAGCTGACCCGTCTGTGCCATCAAAACCGTGTTGCTGACCGCCAAAGGCAAGACTTGTCGCTAAAGACCCACCAAGCTGGTGCGCTCGTGACCCCAATCCATGTGCCAAATTATCCTCGCCGTTGCTTGGGACATTAAAATTCACAAGCTGCACCTGATTCTTGTAAGGGTGGTGCAGCTTCCTCTTGTGTAGACAGGAGCTCAGAATATGGCTTACAGTGCGGTTCTGGAATGTACCAAAATCCAAGCTATTCCAATCTTCGACAACATCTACATTCGATGGGCTCTTGCTACTAATAGGGCTCGAAGCCATAACGTTACCGTTAGTTTGGTGAAGCGAACGCTGGGTTTGAATCATCGTGAGCTCATTAATGGTCGATTTCGAAGACATATTTATTCCAATGGCAGCTCGCGCATCCATGCCCGCAGAAGTCGATGCTTTCCGAGTCACACCATTAGCCTGCAACATCAGCTGCTCTTGTTGCTCACGGCGCTGTGCAGCCTCCAAATCCCACTGCAAAAACCGGTTCTCACGGTCGCACAGCACAGCGTGATCTATCGACGAGAGCAGATCACGCTCGTACTTGTCGTTCTCCATACCCCACACATAACCTTCTTCATCTTCATCCTTTTTGCTCTCGTCGTCTGTTACAGCTTTGTTTCCCACATCCGGCAAAACTGATACCGGCAAACCTTGTGTGCTGGTTAGTCGTGATAGCTTCGCACGCTTGACGGGCGGGCCAGAAGATAGCGCGGTACTGCCCAGCACGAGGTCCAAGTCGTCGTCGTCATCTTCAAATAGTGCAGCAGTGACAGACGTGTTACTAAGTGGTGAGTTGGTCACAGCAACAGTAAGTAGCTTGTGTGATACGATTGTCATGTCCTGTCCTCGTACACCTTCCGTCATAGTTTTTGCTGCATCAGTCGTCTTCTGCTGTAAAAATCCATTAGTACCACGTTTCATGAACGGCGACGCAGTAGGTGGAATCATTGGCGTTACTGTCGTCATGTTACTGATCTTTGCATTCGTCGTGATCTCATTAAGTGCAAGTAATTCCGGATGTTGAAAGTCAAACACGTCCATGTGTTGATCAATATCATCAAGATCAAGATCCATCCAACGCTGCAAATCGTCCTGCATGTCCATCTCCTTTTCATTTTCATTAGCTACTATTCTAGCAATAGTATCATCATCATCTTCAAGTCGTTGTGCTACTTCATCTTCTTCCTGTGTACGCGATAGTGGGAACAGTCGCAATAGCTCTTCATCCTGATTTACAAGCGAATCCACACGTTGGACAGTCTCATTCGCATCACATGAACTCTCAGAAAATTCCTTCATTATATGAAGAAATTCAACACACGTTTGGCTTCGCATGTCCGAAGATCCGTCATCTTTAATCGCGTCTTTCGTGGCGCCTGGTGCGACATTCGACGAGCAAATTGCACGCACACGTTGCGCATTGGTGCTTTCGAAAGGAATATGAAGACGTAGTGGCTTCTCTAGTCGCGAAGGCACCACGGTGGCCGCTTCATTGGTCGACGTCATCATATCGGCGTAAGGTCAGTACTCTACTAGCAAGCTTAGGCAATTATCTTTGCTTGTTAAGACTGCCCGACCACAACAACGAAACCGCATCGAGTTTTACGATATGCTTATACTTTACATTTGTTAAATCCATAATCATGATAGACAGGGTATAAAATATGATGTTTCCAGTCCAGTTCAGCTGGCGTTCAGGTTTTGCACCCGCAGGCATCTACACCGATACAAGCGCAAACAATCAGCTCGGTTAGGTTTAGGGTGGGACTGATTTTACTTTACTTTTGTAAGCTACTTAAAGGATAAACGCGTGGCATTTTTTTCTACTTTGGTCAATCGTGTCAGCCAGAATGATGGCTACATATTTGCTTCAATGTAGAAAAAAATCAGCGTTTTCTGTCTACAATGTCCACTGTTCCTCCCAAAAATGGCTGGCGCAGGGACGTTATAGCTCAGATTTTTTCGGCGTTTCATATTAGACCAGGCAAAAAAATTTAATGACTTAGATTAGACATACATACATATTGTCTTGTTCGATTAACAAAAGTATCTGTGACGACTGGAGTAAATTCATAATGGATGTATGATACACGACCCTTTTCTACTTAAAACACACAAATACTATATTTTAAACACCAGGTAAAAAACCTTTGATCCAATTTACTAATTGAATTTTTTAAATTTTAAAAAAAAAAAAAATTTAAAAAAAAAAAAAAAAAATAATTTTTTTTTATTTTTTTTTTTCTTGGGGGGGAAAAAAAATAATTATTTCTTTTTTTATTTAATTTTTTTTTTTTTTTAAAAAAATAAAAAAACCCCCCTTTTATAAAAAAAAATTTAATTAAAAAATTAAATTAAAAAAAAAATTTTAAAAAAAAAAAAAAAAAAAAAAAAATAATAAAAAAAAAACCCCCCCCCTGGGGGGGGGGGGGGGATCCATAATTAAAAAAAAACCAAAAACAAAAACCAAAAAAAAAAAAAAAAAAAAAAAAAAAAAAAAAAAAAAAAAAAAAAAAAAAAAAAAAATAAATATTTTTTTTTTTTAATTTTATTATTGTATTCTCATCAAGTCGTCTGTTGTTATTTAGTGAACTGTATGTTTCTTAGCAAGTTTGCTCGTAATACAGATTATTAGGCAAGTATAACAGCTACAGTAAACGTTGCTGCAAGCTACCATTTCATATTAGCTGTACATCCGTTTGTGCCTCTTGTTGGAAAGAGCAACAATGCTCCAATTTGAAATGTTCCAGAATGGCACTTTCTAGTGCTAAATTTTCTTGCTGTAATTGCTCCGAGTTGGACTGCAAGGCCGATGCACTCGACTTCTTTCGCTCACGGTAACGACGCTGACGCAAATTTTGCAGTTGGCGCGCGTGTTGTCTTCTACAACCAGAAATGACAGGTGAAAGTAAAGAGTAAAGCTGAAGGTATTTAGCACACAGCTCTTCGTACCTGTCAAGTTTTGCTGCTGTCTTGTTGCTTCTCTCATCATCTTTAGTTTGATGGCGAGCACCAGAACTTGGATAGTTTGGTTCAGCTGATAAACCAACTACACGATTGTTTTGTAATACAAGACTCGAGCTTTTACACTTGTTTTTCTGATGCGTGTGTGTAAGAGTAGCCAACACTTCGTCAGGCTCGCCGCACAATATGAATTTCAGCGACATCGAGGCCATCTTGTTTTTTGCTTTTCTCAAATAAAAAAGAACTGAGCTTCTCATAAAAGAGCTCCCCACCGTTACCTTTCTCGCAAAAACGGAGCGTTCGGCCTCGACGTTTCTCTATTAGTCATTTCGTAAGAACTGTGGTTTTCTTTCTATCTAGTGCAGTTGTAGTCCTTCAACGTCGTCGGACTTGCGCTTTCGGATTTTCTCTCGCAAATTCGCAAAGCTTACATCACCTGGGTTGGTTTTAACTGATGTCACTGCACTTCCAATCATATCCATCTCCGTTACGGATGGAGTACGCTTCACCATTGTAATGAGGCGTCTCGCGTACTTTTTTGTCAGTTTCTGCTCCGAATTCGCTATTACCTCCAAGCAAGGGTGGCGTGGCAGATCGGCATCGGTGTATTCGTAAGTCGTAGGCAAGAGATACACTAATCTCCCGCCCTCACGCAGTGTCTGAGCTGAAAACTCCAATAGGTCCGTCATCACATCTTCTGCCGCGTAAGGCTGGGTGGGCGCAATGTAATTTGTTTGTTTAAGAGCGGTGTTAACATCACTCTTGATCTGACGCTTTCGCCCACTCTTGCGAGCGCCCGCGCGAATACCATACGGCGGATCGCACACCACCGCATCGAAGAAACCACAAGACTGCTTTACAAAAGGTGACACAGAATTGTCAGCGCGCACAAGCTCCGGAAGTGGCAGACCGTATTGTTTAAAGTTAGTTACAACGTTGACGCGCTCCTTGCCATCGATCACACGGTCTGAGGGGACGACACCAGCACCTGTGACACCGACGCCAGTTCCAAGAAGGACACGAATGTCAATATCTGTGCCGTAGCACATGGCACCGTGAGTTCCGCATGGAATTAAGACACTGCCGGTGCCTACAAATGGGTCTATCACCAAGTCTCCTGGCTGCACTAGGGCCATGTTGCTCATCAGTAGCGCCATCTCCGACTCCATTGACGTGGGGCCAATGTAGGCTCTACGCTTTAGCGTCTGTTTGTCGACGAGATCTCGACCACCGCCACGTCCTCGATTCTTTTCACTACCTGCTAGTTCACGCAGAAAGAAAATCTGCTTGGGCTTTATGTCCGGATGCAGATCCTGATCCAGTCCCAATTCCTCCAGAACCAGAAAAGTCTCGTCTGGATTCTTCATTTGCACAGGTCCAGCAAAGGGCAACACGTGACGGAAACGTTCACGTCGTTTCTGCTGCTCGTCCATACTGAGCTTTTTACCAAACACACTTACATTTATGCGCCACGAGCATAGTTTGTCTTGTAAAATCTGCTGCTTGTGAGGCCCTTGGAAGTTCTCCACTGATGTCACGAGCTCGTCGTAGCCACCTCCATTAGCTGTGTGGCCCCATACTTCATATACGCCCTTGACGAGAATTCCACGCTCAGAAAGAAACTTAGCATGTTCCAATGATGGTAAGTGCAAGCGAACAAGCGGTGAACTTTCGGGTTCTGGAAGTTCTTGGGTCTTTGGGTCTTTCAACACCGTATCAGTGATGCCTGGAAGATTTTGCATCGTTAGAAGAGCTTCCAACTCTGGATAACGGAAACCAAAGTGCTGGTGCACGAAAAACACCAAATACTCGGGCATTTTTAATTTCAAATTTGAGTCGATCGAAGAATGAAAGCGGAGGTTAGACTGCACAGCCAAGCACTGGATGACAATAGCTTGATGGTATGTTTATAACTGGAAAAGGTATAAGATTGGTGTAAAAACACATGAACCGCTTGTCTTGTTAACTCCTAAAAAGTTATAACCTTGGCGCTCACGTAGAACGGTGTATGTCCATTCCACGCTATTTGCCAAGTTGTTATTGGTGTGCAAACGCCGCCATCGGTAAGCGATTGCTCCAATGACAGTGCCCACACCCCAACGAGTGCGTAACCCGTGCGCTCAACACCAAGCACAGAATATACGCACTCAAAGTTTAATGTTCGTCTGCAAAGAATCTGCAGTCAACTTTGGTTGTAAAGTGCAACGATAACAAGCACTTCTTGTCTGGGGCGCGTTGTAAAATGTAAATCTTTTTCGATTCGAAAGTGTACTGTATGTAGTATGTAAGCACCATGTCCGGACACAGTTGTGCTATCTGTATGACTGTCACGACAGCTATTATTTAGACGATTTCCGACAAACACGCCAGGCTGCGAAAGACAAGAAAAAGGTTTAGGTACATATCGGCAGTCTGTTAACGTTTCGACGGAATCGCAGTAATTATTAGAAACAATTCGTGCACTGAACCTACATTACAGGCATGGATGTCCCTTGGTACAGATATATAGAATTCCTTCCGTTGGCTTCTCACACGACCCAGATTTCCGGCTGCGGGGGCCATCGTGGTATTGCATTTAGTCAGGCAAACTCTGATGCATATTTAGGGGTGCTGACACATAGTCAATGAGATCTTTTGATGCATTGTCGACCAGGACGATTAGGGAGAAGCTTAGGTGAGCAAGGCTCCTCGTATTGTCGTTAATTTAAGCTTCCAGAACCAACGTGATTCAATCTGTCAGGATTGATGGAGAACGGCGCGTACTTAAGCGGTGTGACATGACCACCAACTTGGGTATGTGACTTGTTATCAATCGGAGTGATGTATCGTTGGGCCGTATGTGAGGTATTACTACCTATTGACGAAACGATATCAGCGCATTGTCTGAATGCTTTTAAGTTTTATTAGCTCAGTTCTTCTGGACTAAAAAAGTTCATGTTACGCAGCTTAGAAAATGTTGAGTATGTGACCATATTAAGACTATGGACAGCAATTCCAAACTCGTGACGTAACTTCGAGCAGCACCACTTGAAATGATTAATATCTCAATATATCATGCAAACGAATTCCTTGTGGCTGCAACGAGTACAGCCACGTATGTACGATGTTAAAGCGCTACTGTCCCGTAGCCTTACCGCGGTGCAGCGTGACGAAACCAGCGCCTCCACCGACGCTGCTGCTACTCGATTCGAGGCGTGAACGTCGTCGTGACAGCCGACTAGACCGCATTCGGTCTCCACCCCCGGCACTGGAGTTCGGCGAGGGCACCAAAAACTGTTGTTCGAAAATAGAGCGACTGTTAGGTCCGTCAAAGTTGTCATCTTCCACTACGTAATGCTCTAGTGCGCCAAGATTTTTCGATCGCTTAGCGAACGGATCGTGTCTCACAGCTGAGGTACCGAACATGGACACACGAGATGGAGGTGGAGGCATTGGCAAGTTTTCAGCAGCCAGCACCTTAGCGAGACGATCGTAGTCTACCGAGTGATGATTGACAACGCTGCGATCAAGTGCCAGGCGACGCGTAGTCAGGCGCAGGTCCGAAAGGGAGGTAATTGACTCACGTGATTCGTCGGCGTCGCCTCTGAAGTACGCGGCGGTCGAGAAGTTGCTCATGGAACTTAGCTCCTTGGACAATATAGCAGCAAGAGGTGCGTCTAACAACGCTAGACGGGTCACGATGTTACCAAGTGCGATCGAGGGTTGTACGGTGAGCACACCGAGTTCGCGCAATCGGGCTCCAGCTGCACAGTCGTCCACTACTGCAATCAACCGTGGTCCCCGAGTGTTTTCGCCCAGCATAGTCTGAATGACCTTCGCCTGCTGTACTGTGCGCTCTGGTGCACCCGTAAAGATAAGTACATCGGCTTTTTGCATGGCTACAGGAGCCTCGCCTTGCCGGTCTTGCATAGGATTCTGGAACGATATCAATTCATCCTTCGCAGTACGCTTTAAGATCGTTTCATTCATTCGGCGCCACTTGTCGGCTCGAGCTTCATCAAGAAGCGGGACATTGACACGAGCGCCGTAAAGAGACAACTCGAGTGCAATTTCAAACGCTACTTCATCGTCACCAATTACAACAGCACTCTGCACACGGCGGGACGGTGGCAAAGGTCTAGGATCTTTGTCACTGTGAGTCGAATACAAGCTCTGAGCGCTGTTGTGAATGCTAAGACTTCGACGGTACATATCTCCTTTTCTGCCTTCGGCGTCCGAATGGACGATTTCTTTTCCTTGTTTGGACTGTGTATCGTCTGAACCATCTGCAGCTGCAGCGGCAGCCTGACGATCAAGTATGCCCTCTCCAGCTTTGCGAAGCCCCACAGAGCACAGAACGGGCCCGATGATCTGGTTGACGACCACTGCGGCAACAATTGTCGCTGCAAACTTGCCCCCCCAGTCTTCTGTAATAAGTTCCTTTACCTCAGAAGCCAATCCAAGTGAGACACCAGCCTGCGGGGCCATCGTCAGCCATAAGTTCTTGTAATGTTGGGGTGGTAACTTTAACAGGAATCGTCCACCCCCGTACACCGATATGAAAATGGCTGCGTACCGTACCGTCAAGTACAAGCTCATTATTGGAATCACACTAAGAACCTTGTCCAGCTGCAAAGACGCACCCGTCATGACGAAAAATGGCAGAAAAATGTACGGGGCCACAGTATCCAAAATCACATGCATCTGTGGACGGATAGAGGGGAAGTGACCAGCCGTGCAAGAAGCCACCATTAGAACTAACAAAGCCTCAAACTTGACTTGCCATACGAGTCCATAGTGAGCGGTTGTTAAGTCACTCACTGTGTTCGTAAAGAGATAGAACACGTAGCCCATGAGCAGCCAAATGAAACCCTTCAAGAGCAGTGACTTGCCTTCAGTCCACCCGTTTTTGTCCGCCAGCATGTTCGATTCAACTTCCTCAACGTAGGTATTGTGCGGGAGATCTGTTCGATCATGACTCTCCAGTGCTTGTTCTAGGTCACTCATATCCAGCTTCCCATCGGTGCATTCAGTTTTATGCACGTGAGACTCTCCGGGGTGTGCTGCAATCCCTTCTGGTATCCCAGTTGGTATCTGGAAAATGAGATATGTCACCAGTCCGAGATACACTCCAAGAACGACATTCATGAGCACAACACCCATTGTAAAAGTGATACTTAACGCTGATACGTCCAACTTGGCACAATAGATTGAAGCAATGACACGCGAGACGGAAAACGACACAAGGACAATAAATTCTGCCGTCATACAAGTCCCAAGTGCCAGGTATGTAAATGGTCCGACGCTATCTATCTCAATCTTGAGTGCCATGACAGTTGACGGTGACACGAGCACTGAAATCGAGGCAAACATGAGTGCAATGCCGAGCTGGCAGCTCGTGTCCAAGTCAGCGTAGAAGAAGGCGTTGGAAGCCAGCATAAAGACAGCAGTGACTATCATCATGGCCGTAAAGTAGTAGGTCAACAAAAGCTGTGCAATGGATTTCAGTTGTGGACGCAATTCTGGTAAATAAATTTCTTGGCCCGCCTGGAATGAGATAAAACTCAAAGCAAAGGCATTGACGTATGAACCGAGCATTTTGACAGCTTCTACACTGAGTAGATTGGACAGGAAAGGCCCCGACAGGATACCAGCTATCAAGTATCCGGTAATAAGTGGCAGACCAAAGTATTTGGGGAAAAAGAGACCGAGCGGGTGTGCACCCAGTAGCACGAGAATGAAAGCCAGTAAGTAGCTAAGCGTCTCGGGTACATTATCCCACGAATTGAAAGGTACGACTTCATCAGGGTCCTTTTCCTTTTCCTCCAAAAGACGCTTGGATGTCAACAAGGACGTAGTGGCAGTAGCATTCACGGCTAGTAAAGTTCCTGCAGTCAAAGCTGCAACAAACAGCAACAAAGGACGTGGTTTCATCTTGTACTATCAATTCAGAACTCAAATTCCGAAGTGACACGAGTCATGACTGATCTAAATGGCGACCATACCACAACACACGTGTTGGTGTAGAAAACTTACTTCAGACCTTGTTACCGGCTCTTCAACAACATTTGGCGCTTACTTTTATGCTCGCACTCTGCTTTATATAGTGTTTCCCTGTAAAACTAGTAATCGCCCAAACCCTATTCGTTGACGACTCGCCACGGTGGAAAGGGCTATTTTGAGGACTCTCTGCCTTTTAGACTGACTCGATGCAAGTCCAATGACGACATTTGAGTTGTCATACAGACGAGGAGATTGCAGCGACGTAGTGTTTGCTACCAGGAACATTAATCGTGTGTGTAAGTTTCTTACAATCACACGAAGCTTTGAAAATCTACATACGGACAAAAGTGTCCGGTGTTCAGTGGCAGTGTGGCCGTCCATTGTTATTAACATAAGCGACGAAGTCTTGCTTCTTTGCAAGGTAATTTTCACAGCCATATCTTAAATTCTAAAGTGCGCATAGAAAATTAAAGGCTGTTCCGATTTATTGCCACTTCAGAGCAAATAAGTCATTGAACAGCACGACGTGCCGACTATCATGGTGCACAACAGGCAACGCACTGTTCCACTGTCACCATCTCACAACAAGGAGATCCGGAACAAGCTTAAGATAAAAAATGGAGATGCACTTGTTTAAAAGCAGTCTCTAGCACGCGCAGGATTGCCGATCACTGTCGCAATTTTACATAAACTTATCTAGGGATTATACAGCCTCAGCTTAGTAGAGTACAGCCTCAGGTTTAGTATCTCGGCATTTATTAGGAAATGAACCGGCTTCAGCTTCTTCCCGAATTATAATCAAGCACCACTAAGGTCCACTACCATCTCGTCCAGTGAGGTGGTCGTCTGGATGTGAAGCATACAGCACCGGATAAGCTTGTTAGCGCATTCGGTCATCAGCTGATGCGACACCTGATAGGCTTTTCTTCAAAATTGTAGCAATGATATGAAATTTTTTACCTTAACTAGCGACACGAATATGTTCACCACATCGGCCACGGGGCGTGCCATCCGAGCACCATAAGTCTAATTGATAGAAAGAGTGAAAGTTAACACAAAAACATTTGGATTGGTATGGGTTTTGTTTTAAAGTATCCGCGGCCTTTGAGTATGGAGCTGCGCGCATCCGAGCCGTCTTGCTGTCAAAAGAATCAGATCAAACTTTTGCTGGAAGAGTTTCGACAGCTGGACGACGGGGCAAGTATATGTATCATTGCAAAGTCGCTAACCAGCGGGCTGATCGTCGTGTCGAGATTGGCTTGCGTACTGGACATTTTTATCGCTTGATTGAAGGTAATCTGACCGTATGTATCGTCTATCCAATCGTCCCATCCCGCTTTTTCGCAGCTGAATCGATACAGAAAATTTACCATTCTTTGCCATTTTAAAACCTCCTTCTATGTCAAATATGATAGGGTGTCGACTCCGCATCACAACTTTGCTCTTGCTGCTAGCGACCATCATCTGCAGCGTTCGCGTCGAGTATGTGGAGGCCGAAGTGGTACCGGCGCGTATGCTTCGCAAACAAGTGCAGCAGGATGATGCTGACTTGCAACCCAGCGCTACTACCACGTCCTTTGAATCGAACGGCAAAGTCAGCAATACCAAGCCCGTCGACGACACGAACGCTTCGGCTCACGCGACAACTGAACCAAGTCACAAGGGAAGCGACTCGGGTCCTGAGGCTGCCGGACCGGGTCACGAGGCTCCCGACTCGGGTCTTGAGGCTGCCGGATCGGGTGACGAGGCAGCCAAACCAGCTCACGAGGCTCACGACTCGGGTCTTGAGGCTGCCGGATCGGGTGACGAGGCAGCCAAACCAGCTCACGAAGCACCGACTTTTATGATGTTTATGGGACCTGCGGTCGCCGGTGTCCTGGCCATTGTACTTATCGGCAGCGTCATTGCCTTTAAGAATCGTAAGAGTAAATGAGTCTCGCTGCGCTCTAATTGATGGCAGACAACTTTTTTGCTTCATTCATAATGAATATATCGCTTTCGTTTTAAAGGGCTATACATATGAATTAGTGAATCGATCCATCATTCCTGAAGCTCTTTAATATCTGTGCTCTAATGCACGCATATCTACTAAAAAGGATTGACCTTACGGGCCAATCGCACAAGCACCTTGGGGTAATATCGCCTTTCTTGCGGCCACGCACCCAGTTCAAAGTACGGTTTGCCGGTGATGGGGTCATTGGGCGCATGTGCTTTCAGCGCGGCCATCACGTCGTCGAGCAAGAAATTGTCGCCGACGATTGGGTCCTCGATGATTGGATCAGTGTGTGTTTTACCCTCGTAATAACGTGTCGACACTGTCGCACTACAGGATCTCAACGCCGCTGCTAGCTGCTCCGACGACCGATAACTGACTGTCTTATCCGCCATTCCGTGAAATAGGAAGCACGAAGGAAAGTCTTCCATCAGCTCCTTCCGTGTATGAAACGGCAGTTCACTAAGCGCCAACAAACGCAAGGACGGTGAATAATACGCCAGCCGATGCGCCATAATGCGCTCCACTACCGCGCGGTCAAAGCCGTGGCGGTGAAATGTTGCGATGCTGGCTTCCATGTTGTACGGTCCAGATATGCCAATGTAGCTACGAACTTGTCTCAATTTCCACGTGATCGGCTGCGCCAACGGCGACACGCTTTCGAGACTCTCACAGTCGGACGTATTGCCCATACCACCGCCGGTGCCGCTTGGTGAGATTTCAAAACTTGCAGCAGCGTTACGTTTCTTCTCCACTTGTTCGAGCAACGCGCACATGGAGATATGTGCGCCGGCGGATTGACCGATGAGATGCACGTTCTCGCGATCACCGCCAAAACAGTGGACATTGTCAAATACCCACTGCATCGCGCGCGTCACATCCTCCACCATGTCGGGTACGACTCCCTGAGGAAAGTTGCGGTAGTCAGGCATCACGACCACCACGCCCAGTGACGCCAGCATACGCCCCATTAACGCGCCCCATGCCTTGTACCCAATGATCCACGCTCCTCCGGAAACAAATACAACTACAGGGTACTTTGCCTCAGTGATGCTACCACTAGCAGTACTAGGAACACTGGAGTTTTGCGTCTTGCCCGTTGTAGACGACGTTTTCTCCACTATCGCGTTCTGAGGCACTGTGTATATATCCAACAGATTCCGTCCGTTAAGCCCGTAAATAATATTTTTGTGCACGTCATCATTCACAAACCAGTAGACCGCAACCTTTACAATCGGGAACAGCAATAGCAGCACGAACGAGATCAGACGCAAAACACCGAGCATCCAGCGCTTGGACATGCGCAGTGCCCAAAGCAACTGCACCGCAAGCTTTGTAACAAGCCAACTTTGTTCGGCTACAACCTCAACAGCCTCTGCACCCGACGAAACCGCCGCTTGAAGTACTGTGCTATTAGATTCTGGGTCCCGCACAAAGTTCTTACTGTGAGGTGGAAGGGGTATCGACCCACGAGAGTTTAGTAATGATGCACGTAGAGAGCTTTCACTATTACTGGACTCAAGTGAAGAATGCAGGGCCTCCTCGTCTTCAATATACTTGCCCAGCTTCGAAGTGGCCGCGGCATCCAGCATGGAGAATGTACGGACCTTTTGCAACAGTTTCTCCCCCAAGATATCACCAACATCGACACCAATATCGACGTCATTATTACCCATTGTCTGTTCCTGGTTAGGTAATTGCATCTGATGATGCATTCTTCGCCGTGATTCTACTGCTAAAAGATCAGTCATTGGCTGCTGCTTCTGCTTGGCATCGTTGTGCTTGTCAGTCGCCATAGAAGTCGTTACTTTCTACCAATGCGGATAGACTGCAGTATTATAGAGTTAGTTTTAGTCACGTCTCACGATTGATGGAGAACGGCGCGTACTTAAGCGGTGTGACATGACCACCAACTTGGGTATGTGACTTGTTATCAATGGGAGTGATGTATCGTTGGGCCATATGTGGGGAATTACTACCTATTGACGAAACGATATCAGCGCATTATCTGAATGCTTTTAAGTTTTATTAGCTCAGTTCTTCTGGACTAAAAAAAGTTCATGTTACGCAGCTTAGAAAATGTTAAGTATGTGACCATATTAAGACTATGGACAGCAATTCCAATTCCGTGACGTAACTTCGAGCAGCACCACTTGAAAATGATTAATACCTCAATATATCATGCAAACGAACTCCTTGTGGCTGCAACGAGTACAGCCACGTATGTACGATGTTAAAGCGCTACTGTCCCGTAGCCTTACCGCGGTGCAGCGTGACGAAACCAGCGCCTCCACCGACGCTGCTGCTACTCGATTCGAGACATGAACGTCGTCGTGACAGCCGACTAGACCGCATTCAATCTCCACCCCCGGCACTGAAGTTCGGCGCACAAGGTCCATATGACCACCGCCTGCTGCTGCGTCTCGCAGTACCTATCGATACTGCTGAGCTGCTCCGCCAGGGGGCTTGCCAGCCACGCGCGCCGCATCATCTTAAGTTGCTACCTCGGGGCCGACTCCGCGCTGTTTTCTCCTCCATTGAAGCCATCGGGCCTTTTGCACCGGCAAAGATGACATTAGCCTGGTCCAGCTAAAACTTAGTCGAGGTAACATGGAGATGCAGCGCCCTACCCACAGATTCGTAGTACGCCGCGACGGTGCTTAGCAGCCATGGGTACCATGTGAGGCCAATTAAGCCTGAATTCGCACTAAGGTTTTTGTACATGTCTTGAGTGAGTAAGCGCATTGTTGTTTATGTGATTTGAGTCTGGACGCCGGTTGGTGAAAACGCGCAGGTGACTCTCTTATCTTTGGCAAAGGAAAAAATCTGTTGCATGTAATCGACTCTTTGAATACGATTTATTACAAACAAAAGACTTTTATATGCCGTACTGTGAAAGCATAATTAGCTGCTGCTCTGCATCCACGGTGGTCAGTAAACAGCAGCCTTTTACGGCGGCTTTCACAGATTTGATAAGCTGTTGCTCCTAGACTCTGGGTAGACCTTTTTGAGCTCGATACAAACCAGTCCGAGTGCATACATCATAATCGCCTTTTGTGCAACTATCGACTTGCCACGAGTCACGGTCAAACGGTTCTGAAGTCGTTTACTATGTTCGGTCGTGTCAACAAAATGGCATAGCAATTATGCATCTGACAGAGGCTATCTGCCGGTTTCCGGCATGGTTATCAGACAAAAGGTTGTATTATGCGTAATAAATTTCAGGGTGGGCGTTATAGATAAATGTTTTGCTGACCTAGAGATGCTATCCACCGGCAGCACCATCTCGGTGACCATAGGTGCGACGAAAAGTCTAAACTGTCCCTATATCAAGACTTTGATCGGCTCTCTTCTCTTTTCATCCCGCAGTCCTCCAACAGCAGAAGGATTCACGAGCAGGCATTTGAACACTCGTGACGGCTGAAGCTGACAACGTAAGAACACCCCAAATAGGCAGAGGAGATTCCACAAGCCCCCATCAGCAAGAATAACCCGCTCATATGCCTTCTGGACGGCATCAAAACCCACCCACTCCTTTCCATAGCCTTCGTGTACATGACCAAACACATGCAGTGCCGGTTGAACCCTCCACAGTTCCTTGAGCAAGCCGACACAGCCAATCTTGAGGATGTCGAGGTGTGCCCGCGGTGGGCCGTGGGTGACAAGGATGTCGATGTCGTCGGGCACCATTTTGGACCATTGCGCCTCGCCCTCTGATCTTAGGTACTGAAAGGCCCAGTTACCGTGCCGACAGGATCGTGGGCTTCCGTAGTGGCGAAGTCGCCGGCCATTGCGACACTCGAGTTCTGCGGTAGAATCCTGAAGATATATCAGGTCTCCCCAGTCGAGTTCTGCGCGCTCCGCCCCCGCTTCCTTCGCGTTCGATCTTCTGGGCCTATCGTCCAAGGACTGATCAAGCAACAGATCGTGGTTGCCCGCTATCACGATCTTGTGCCGGTGTGGTTGGCCCTTGAGCCAGTCAAGCGCGGCCTGCGTCTCCTTAAAAGATCCTGACTGTGTCAGGTCCACCGCGTGGATGAGTATATCTCCATCGGGGAGCGTCGGCTGGCTGTTGTGGGTGTCCGAGACGCAAACGACCGACACAGCGTCTGAAAGTGGTTGTGCAAACGCGGCACGGTCTAGCCACCACTCGTAGACGATTCTTGATAGGAATACGGAGGGGTTGCGTCGGAACTGCTCCAGAATGCTTGGGCGCGGCCGTTGAAGGATTACGTCCAGCCCATCAGGCTGTTGGCCAAACATGGAGGCCATCTGCGCATTCGGTGGGGCACCTTGGCTGAAGGCTCAAAAGGCTCTAAAGTTGTTTCTGGAGGATCAGTCGAGGAACAAGATGATTGCGTGGCAATGTTTGGAGTAGTAGAGTAGTTTGTTTGGTTTCTATTTTCACCCGTGTCGTTTAGTAAAAGTTTTAAAGTGGCGCCGTTGGTGGACGGTAGCCCCTGGAACTGCTGCGCATTCCATCACTCTACACCCACATCTCCTTTCAAATTTACTCCTACTCCCGTAACACCTACTCCTATAACGCCTATTCCCACAACACCCACCTCCACGATACGCTCACCCACCAGGCACTATATAAGGTGCTAGCTCTTTCTAAGCATTGGCGCTTCGACGAGCCTTCCAGCTAACGTCTTCTCTTGTCCTTCGAGTCTCAATATACGAACGCGTCAGCGGACAAAACATTAAGCCGATTAGGGAGACGAAGCCAGGTGGTGAGAACGAGAAGGCATGCAACGCGATGGAGGTTGGGGAGACCAAAACTTACAGTGAAGTCAACTTTTACTCCCCCCAAGGAACACCGGTACATCATAGGTGAGGCATCTTACCAGCAGACAACCGTCCCAGATTCCTTATAATCTTTTGAAGGATCCCCATGCTTATGGGGCACTGGCTTATGCCACCTCTTCAACGCAGTTGAAACAAAGCAGTCTATAACTTTGGCCTTTATCAGCGATTTTTAACTTATAGTAGCTCATGACATACCTGTAAAGGGATATTTGCACCCGCCAAATGGAGAATAGAGAGTACACCGTCCAGCATTCATACCATAGTAAAACCCGCACACATCCAAGATCAATTTGTTAGGAGGTATTGTAGAAGTGGGTGTTGTGGGAGTAAGTGTTGTGGGAGTAAGTGTTGTGGGAGTAGGCGTTATAAGTGAAGGTGTTATCGGAGTGAGAATAAATTCGAGTGTTGAGTGATGTTATGCGCTGCAGTCTTAGGGCTGACGACATGCCAGATCCAGCAACACCACTTTGGAACTCTCACTTACGACACGGGCTCAACGAAAATAGAAACCAAAACGGACTACTGCTAATTTTTAAGACTTGTGCTCCGCAGTCATCTTGTTTTCAATTCTTCGAAATACGGGAATTCACGATGAATGTAACGAGTTAAGCCCGTTACATAATATTGACACTTATTAGAAGTGTCAATAAATATATTGTTATACTAATATTATTTGACAATACTATCTTTTCCTATATTACTGTCCCTAAAGCTCCTTGAAATTGGAGATGCCCTCTGATTGGTTGATATAGGCCATTATATCAACCAAGGCGCTGACCAATGACCGATGGACACGCGCAAGGGCACGGAGGTAGCATACATATTTGTACTTTAATATAGTTAAGACAAGATTATTAATGATTTAGTTTTATTAAATAGTTATAATATATTAAATACAGTTCTCTTTTTCCCTACTTCTAAGCGTGTTGTTTATGAGTAAAGCTTCCTCTGCCTCTTTATGTAAGAGAGGTTGTGAGGCACCTGCTTTCACTATAATCATTGGAGGAAGACTATACTGTTTTAACTATTGTCAGAGGGTGCCCCATTACACCTGGTAGCACTTCGTGGTTCGTTCAGCGACCACCGCACTAAACGCTATGAAATCAGCGGATGATGAACGTCATCACGCAACGCATGATGATTTCCGCCATGTGAGTAACCTCGAATGGAATGCGGTTCAGCGTATGGCTGAAACCATCGGCAATCCTGCCGTTGGTGCTATGTTGCTCTCCCTTAGCGGAGACGACCAACATGCAACCATCGCCAAGTTCATACAACATGAACTTGACGAAGTTGTAAGGAAACTCACCTTGCTAGAGGATCAAGGTTCTCAACAGGTTGAACTGTTGAGAGAACAAGGCGCTCAACAATTTGATTTGTTGATGCAGCAGGGTGCTCAACAGTCTGAACTGTTGAGACAACAGCAGGCTAGTGCTTTTGCTGCCGGGTCGACGTATACACGTCGACTCGAGTCCTTGAAGATTGATGTCTCCAAGTACAAGGCAGTCGAAAGCGACTCCTTGTTAAGATAGTTCGTCGAGCTCGACGATGCCATTGAGGCTAGACTCATCGATGACGTTGCGATGAAGGTCAAGTCCGCCATGTCGAACTTGGCAGGACGTGCCAAAGCTTGGGCCTTAGGGCTCAAACTGCATGACCCATACGTTTTCTCAACGTATGACGTCTTCAAGACGCAGCTCAAACACACGTTTGAACCGCTCCGCGCCGAATTCAGGGCTCGGGCTGAGATCCTGGATTCGAAACAGGGTAAGCGTGATATACACACTTACGCCCAACACGTACGATACCTCGTTAGCTGTATCGTGCTAAACTCAATCGATGAACACTTGCAGGTTATGTGTTCATCAAGGGTCTGACAGATGGTCCTGTTAAGACCCACCTGTTCCGCTTGGAACTAGAATCGCTGGATCAAGCGATCTCTGCAGCGGAACAGGAGGACTTTAGCCTACAACAGGCTAACGTCCACTCGGGGTCCTATCGTCCACCGAGACGACAGGAGGGCGGAGGTCCAGAACCAATGGACCTCTCCTATGTAGAGAGCGAGCAACCTCACTCTCCAGGATACAAGCGATTGCAATTGCTGTCACAAGATGGGCCACTACGCTTATGAGTGTAGTGCCCCACGCCCAGTGTCTCGTAACACTGGGAGTGACGATCGATCGTCTACCAAGAAGGGCCAGAGACGTGGGTCTCACGTTGCTGCAAATTCGCAACAACGTGGTGGGCCACCAAAAAAACGGTCGGGGTCAGTAGGGGCGGAGCGCCCCACTGATCCAGCAACGTCAAGAGAGTTCGCGGGACTCTTGACGAGGGTTGCTCCCAACACGCAGTCACTGTGTGTTGCCGTTCCCAGTGATGAGGTATCCCTCATCACCTTGAAAATCGAAGTGACAAAGAACATTTCACTTCGCGCCCTAGTTGATTGTGGGGCTTCGAACAACTTTGTTCGACGCCAATCGCTAGATGATCGTAGGCTCAAATATGTTGAGCGCGAGACCCCTCCAACGAGGATGACGGTGCGCCTTGCAACTGGAGCATCCGTAACAGTAAAGAAACGTGTAGTGGGAATTCACTACACGCTTGAAGGCAAAAAGTACGATGATGATTTCATCGTACTTGATCTGGATGACAAATTTGATTCATCCTAGGAGTAAGATGGCTCAGAAGGTACGAGCCATGGATCAGCTGGCAGCATCGAACCGTGAAGATGCCTGCCGCTTGTTCATTAGATGGCCATCTTATGAACGTCTTGGAGAGTTCACAAGCGTGTGAATGTACTACAAGTGAGTGCGGTGGCCTCACTTGTGGTTCGGTCGTTAGTACGACTGCACAAGAACTCAGCGTGACAGACAGTCACGCTGTGGAGCAAGCTGCCGGCGGCTGTGCACAAGCACAGGCATCGCCGAAGGTCCACCACCCGAATAAGTCGAGTGGACCGGGACATGAATACTCGCCTAGAGGGCAGCATTCACCGAAGAGTAAACCGGTTGCCCAGAAGCGGCAACACGGTAATCCTAGATCAACTGGAGAGTTGATCGTAGAGGATCTCGCTGCGGTTGCGCCACCACAGTTAGAGGAAGTCGATGAAATAAGTTCCATCGAGCCTGAGGGAATAAGTCCCCAGGAAGAGACGTTGAACGTCTTGGTTAATGACGGATCAAACGTAGGCGCTTGTACGCTTGATCTGATCGCGCCTCCGAAGTTAACTTCGAAGAGGACTCAGTTTTCTACGCTAGAACCTAAATAGTTGTTGCGTGATCTGCGTAGTGGCAAGGTCAAGCAGATCTGTGTACTCGTCACAGAGGACGAGTACATGACTGACATTCGGTCAGCAACATTTTTTGCCGAGAACGAACGAATTCTCAGCAGCTCATCAATGGACGAGAGTGTCCTTGATAAAAAGACTCGGATTGAGCGATATACATCGCAATCCTGGGAGTCGCTGAAGTCAAATCCTTTGTACAAGGATTTGGTCGAATTCAAGGATGTATTCCCTGAATCCGTTCCGTGCGAGTTGCCTAAGGATAAAGGCACTCGACACGAGATCGACCTAGTTCTAGGCACAAAATATTGTGCAATGAAGCAGTGGCCACTGCCTCGGGAAGAGGTCGAGGCGATCGACAAGTTCTTTGCCGATCGCCTAGCAGCGGGCCATGTAAGGGAGTCAACTTCACCTCACAGCTCTCCGACCGTCTGTGTGCCCAAGGCCACAGGAGGGTGGCGGATAGTGCACGCGTTCAACAAGTTGAACGCTGCAACAAAACCGGCGCAAACGCAAATACCGAGATGGACGTAATTGTGGTGGAGTGGGATTCGCAAAATTGCTGATGCGATTCCAACTCTCCACTGGCGCCCGGACGACCGACTAACGGAGGGGGTACCCCGATTCCGTGTATAAAGCCTTCCTCACCTTGTGTACCCGTCGGTAGGGCGGGTTGCTCTCTTCTCGGTGGACTTGAGTCGATGTTGATCCTAATTGGGTTAGGAATAGGGGATTTGGTTATCTTGTGGAAATCTTCACAAGATAAACCGAGTACTATATGTGATTTTCCCAATTGATCACTGTTATCCAATAAAACGAAGCTGGAATCTTCTGACCACTTGAGCAGAACCTTCTGACCACTTGATCCGTCCTGCACTTGCTTCGCCTTGCCCTACGTGTTTTATCTGCGTCCGATCGCAGTTGAGTTGTGTTATGAGTTCTTGCAGTCCCTGGCCAAACAATCCAAAGATATGACTTGCGTAGTGTGTAGGCTTCCTCGAGACATCGGGTGGCCAAAGAATCCAGCCCGGAAGAGAAGTCGACACGTGTATTAGAAGTAAAATTGAACTCTGTTTAGTGTTAACCAATCAAAACTCGAAACCTACAATTCTGCCTATCTGTATTCCAGGATCTATCACCACATGTCACCCTTTCAGGAAAAATCAGACCTCGATATGTG